AAGGAAGGAAGGAAGGAAGGAAGGAAGGAAGGAAGGAAGGAAGGAAGAAAGAAAGAAAGAAAGAAAGAAAGAAAGAAAGAAAGAAAGAAAGAAAGAAAGAAAGAAAAAGAAAGAAAGAAAGAAAGAAAGAAAGAGAAAGAAAGGAAGGAAGGAAGGAAGGAAGGAAGGAAAGAAGGAAGGAAGGAAGGAAAAGAGAAAAGAAATGAAAAGAAAAGAAAATAATAATTGTGAGAAAGGCTCCAGGAAAGATAGTACATTGATCTGAATTAGTTCTACTTTCTAGAAAGCAAATAGAAACTATGCTTAAAAAGTCATTAAACTGTGTATACCCTTTGACCTTGAAATGCCACTACTAAGCTAACACTACTACTATACTAAGCCAAGAGATCAAAGAAAAAGAAAAAAATGACTATATGTAATCATCTGTTTATTTTATAAATATTTATATTTATATTATATATTATGTAACTATAAACATATTTATAAATAATAAAAATATTTATCTCAACCCTTTTTGTTGCAGCAAAGAATTGGAAACAGAGGAGATGCCCATCAACTGGGGAATGTCTGAACAAATTATTGTATATGAATGCCATGGAATGTTATTGCATCTTAAGAAAGAACAGTTTCAGAGAGACCTGGAAGCTTGTACAAACTGATGTAGAATAAAGCGATCAAAGCCAGAAAAACAACTTATATAGTAACAATTGTATTTGGTATTGCAGAAGAAGAAGATAAGAAATAAAAGTGGCTCATTGAAGCATTTTTTTAAATGCACAAAAGAGAACAGAAGGAGGTTCAGAGGAAAACAAGGACAAGCAGAATAACTTTGAAAGTAACATGTTGAATTTATTAATCATATAGATAGATTTTAAATCAATCTCTACAAAATCAAGATTTATAATTTACGTATAATCCTTTTTTTCCTCTTCTACTTTGTGTATGGAAATGTTCTTTTCTTTTGGTGGTCATTACATTCCAAATTTTAAAAAAATTAATGAATTTATAGAACTTTCTAAAATCTGGAATGAATCTCATAAATTATTTTGCCCAATCCCTGCCCCCTTT